TGACATGAAAGAAGTAGCATTTAAGTAAATGTATACAGTGCTTTCATCCACTTGCCTCAAGGTACAAAAAAAAAACCTAGGAAGAAAAAGGTATTACCAGCTTAAGAAGAGGCCTAGAAATCTGAATTTGTCAACTAACGAAACAGAATCACAATCACTGAATCACTGTCTAGTTTAGCCTGTCAACTTTAGTACTAGATTCTGCTTTGCAACAGCTCTAATGATCAACCCTCTAAATTATTATTTAATCATTATTATTATTTACCTATTATGGGTAAATCTCTTAAATGGAGGTTCCAGAAGCCATAAAGATGTAATCAAGTCCCTACCCTAAATCAAACTACAATGTACTAGGACGATGCACCTGCACAGCTATCATACACGCTAGAATGTGCCAGAGTAAAAACCACAAAGCTCTACTACTAAGGAGGAAGAACTGGCATGCCAGACTTTCAGCTGAAAGATGAGGAAAGCTTCCCAGAGATACCTATGGATGGCAGAGAAGGGGCGGTGACAACAAAAGCATGGAAGCAAGAGTTCACGAGGGGTTCTGGGAATAGCTGGCCAAGTCCGAAGACTGTACGATGCTAGAGAGGAAGGGTGGGAGGAAAGAGTGGCAAGAGAGATCTGGCCATGCTTAGGAGGGTGAACTTCACTCCTGCCAAGATGGGGAGTTTTGGCACTAGAACAGTTTAGAAGGAAGACAAAGTGCGGTCATCAACTCCTTCATTACAGAGATAAGGACAAGGAGCCTCACAAAGGTTAAGTTACTTAAAAAGAAATATGTGATTCACATATAGGTGCCAAGAACTAATTTCTTGCCACACGCCCTCCCTCCCCCAGGAATGACAGGATCAGACACATAGTTTAGGGAAATTATTTCAGTAGCAACGCGCAGCACAGACTAGAGAGAAAAGAAATTGTGGACAGTTTAGGAGTGAAAAGAAATTGGGTGCCCTGTAATTTAGAATTCTTCTATTACTAAGATGTTTTATGTGTTAAAATTTTGACTTACTTTGATATGCCAGGTAGAATGTTAATTTGGCTACAGGAAATTGACTATCTTGGCAAGACAGAGTTTTCTGAATGAGAGAAAAAGAGTTTTCGTGCTAACACACATCAGTAACATACGTTGCCACGTAGGGCAGGTCGACTCTTTGCGGGGAAGGATGGTGAATCGTGTACGTCAGAACTAATTTCAACACCTGTGAATGGGCAAAGCAGTTTCTAAAAGAAAGTAAACTTCACTGAAACCTGTGCGTGTCATTTTTAAAATCACAATGAAGAGTCTATGATTTCCCTAAGAAAGTACACATTTCATTGTGTTGCCTACATAATGGTAAATGCTGACACATAACACTGTGGATAAATAGCTGAAATAGGCGACCATAAAACAGGAGAGGCAGGTTTTTGTTTGTGGAAGGCAGCCTCACCACTTTATCACTTGCGAACATTATGCCTAAAAATAAAAGAGCCTAACATAATAGTTGGCCTTCTCAATAATTACCTCAAAAGATTTCTGATGGAGCCCTGTTTTTCTCTAATACACTATCTGGATCGATCACCCAAGAAATTATCTCAACATTTTCTGTATCTCTATTTGTACATCATTGTACTCTGACAGTGATGTCATGTCTATTATCTCAATTTTTGCCCAGTTTAAACAGGCTGTCCATGTCTGGCTGTCTAGCTTAATGGCACAATTTAAGATTATTACACTCCGGTGCATTATTTTGAATTGGAAGAAGGTTAACATATCGATAACGCTGGTCTAAGTTTAAGGCATTTCCAATAAGGACTTTTTAAAAAATCACTTTCCCCCTCTTTCTTAAGCACCCCATGTTCATTACTAGACTTAAGTTTCATGAGGACGCAAGCTGTAATATTGTGTCCCCTAGAAAGTCAATACCATGTAGGTGCTCAAAACGCTTGCTCAAGTAATAAACCCACCAGTGACAGCAACTCAACTATAGCTGCAGCCGTGCAATACAAAGATCCCCGGGGCTGATGTGACGGCTCAGGACGCCTAGGCAATCGGCTCTGCAGGCGGGCCTTCCCCTGCTAGCTCCTTCCACGTTGATAAGCTCCAGGTTTCAGCCACAGGCCCTTCCCTCACACTCTGCACATCCCACCTGAGCACAGGGAGCCACTCCGTTACATCTGTAGAGGAACTCAAATGGTTGTCTCTGGCTCTGGCTTCTTTCCTAAGCTACAAATTTTCTCTCTTACTGCCTGTTAGAGGTTTCCATTCGTAGGTCTCACTATACCTCAACACGAACCCCAAATGGAAGTTCCCATCATATCCCCCTAAAACCTGCTCCTTCCCAGGTATTGCCTACATTAGTAAACTGCCCCACTGTGTTACAATACCCCACTTCCTGTCTTAACTGCTGCACTGATTCCTAGTGAGTTTACCATCAAAAATGTGTCTCCATGGGGCAGCCCGGGTGGCTTAGCGGTTTAGGGCCTGCCTTTGGCCCAGGGCGTGGTCTTGGAGACTGGGGATCGAGTCCCACGTCGGGCTCCCTGCATGGAGCCTGCTTCTCCCTCTGCCTGTGTCTCTGCCTCTCTCTCTCTCTCTGTCTCTCATGAATAAATAAATAAAATCTTTGAAAAAAAATGTATCTCCAATTCTATGTGCTTCCTTCCTTTCCTGATACCGTCCTTGAGGCATCATCATAACTTACCAGAAATTACTCTTAATGACTGTCTCCTAGCTAGCTCCCTTCCAATTTACTGTGCAGCTAGAGTGGTCTTTCCAAAATAAGAATCTCTTAAAACTCCTAAATGGCTTCCTACAGTCCTTGGGAAAATATCCAAATATCTGTCATGGCTTACAAGGTCCTTAAAGGGGTGGAAGCTACCTTGTAAATTAAACTGTAACACGGCAAGATGAATAAGCCCATTAGGGCTAGAAGAGCCCCACTGACCTGTCATCACTAGCTATCCCTTAATTAGCAAGTGACTTGTTTGTCCCTCAGTATCCTCATATAAAATTGAAATACTATTTTTTAAAATTCTATTTATTTATGAGAAACAGAGAGAGAGAGAGAGGCAGAGACATAGGCAGAGGGAGAAGCAGGCTCCATGCAGGGGGCCCAATGTGGGACTCAATCCCAGATCCCAGGACCACGCCCTGGGCCTAAGACAACCACTAAGCCGCCCAGGTGCCCCCTAAAATTGAAATGCTAATACTCATCTTCCAGTGTGGACCTGGATGGTAAAAGGAGATAAAACCCAATGTTGACACAGTATGCCACACATCTGATACATAGTACAAGCTATTTACACACCTGATACATTAGGAAATATTGGCTACTGTTATTAACTCTCTACTTAGTGTCCCACCTCTCTCCCATGCCTATTCTGAGTTCCGCCTATAGGGAGCATCCCTTATTTCCCCTTCTTACAGGTTGCCTCTAGCTTGACCCATCCAGCCTATCAGGTGCGTCTTGCTTTACCTGTCAGTCCCATCCATTACCTGGCTGCAATTTCCTCTCCTACCACTCCAAGCCTCCTGGAATTCTTCAGGACTCATCCTAAATGCCACGTCTTCCAAGAAGCCCATCCGGCCTCTCGCGTTCCTATGCGCTCTTGAAGGCTTCCAATGTTCCCCTGCCACACATACACCTGACTTCCCGGTCCTTCCTCTCCACTCCTAAATGCCCAGCTCCGTGTGAAGAGCAACTGTCCTGTTCCCCCAAGGCCTTCCCCCTGCCTCGCACATTGCCCAGCATGCAGTCAGTAGGCACTTTATTATTATTTTTTATTTTTTTTGTAGGCACTTTAAATAAAGATTGCTGTGTGTGTGCGGGAGGGTATCTCTCGTCTCTCACAAGCCCCCCCCCCCCCCGCGAACCTCCTCCCAAAATTGTAGTGGTTTGAAAAGCCCAATAGTCTTATAAGAGTGATCTGCAAAATATAGGTCAGAAAAGGCTGCAACGGGCACACCTGCGGCGGGGGGGGGGGGGGGGGCTCCGCGTGTGAGCCGCTGCCTTGGGCTCAGGTCGTGATCCCGGGGTGGGGGCGGGGGGGTCGTGGGTTCGAGTCCCGCATGGGGCTCCCCGGAGGGAGCCTGCATCTCCCTGTGTCTCTCATGGACACATGCAGTCTTTTCAAAAAGAGACAGGAAGAGGCTGCCACAGTGCAAACACCGCTCAATAATGCCGCGAAGGGCAGGTTGAAACAAAGGGAGGGCGGGAGGGCGGGCTTCTGAACCGCAGCACCTGAGTCGCTCCTACACTAAAGTGCATCGTGAAATCTCCAAGCTGTGCGGGGTGCGGGGAGGGATATAATTCTCCGACTAACTCCTGCAACCAGGGTTCCTCGGAAGACAGGGAGCAAACCTGGTTTAAGGAGACGCCCTCCCGACGCTCGTCCTTGCAGACGGGAGAGCTCCGGGGCGCTTACTTGGTAGGTAGGGCTCGCTTACGGTGACCCCCCCCGCCCCCACCCCCACCCACAGAACCGAGAGCTTGGAAGGACCCACAGGCGTCAAGGAGCGAGGCTGCTTTTGCAGATGCACGAAAAGCGGCGGGTGCAGGGCCACCCCGGAGCTCGGGGCACCAGGGAGCCCCGGGGGCCGGGCCTGCGCTGCCGCTGCAGCAATGCCTCCGGCTGCTCGGCTCCGTCGAGGGGCGCCGCCGGGATCCGGTCTTCAAGCCACGGCCGAGGTAAGCCAGCTGCCCCGGACCCCTGCACCCCCGCCCGCCGCCCCCCGCCGGGCCTACGGTTACAGCCCCCTCCCCCTCCCCCCTGCCCTCCATCCAGCGCAGCTGGAGCTCCGCGGCGCTGCAGGGACGCCGTTTCCGCCGCCCCTCCTTCCCTTCGCTGATTATTTTTGGAGGAGAAACTTTTTCCTGCAGACCAGACGAACCTGTTCAGGCTACGCCCCCCCCCCGCCCCGCCCGGCGCTCCCCCGCGACCCGAGCGCACCCCAACCTCCCCCGGCCCCGCTGCCTTGCTCGCCGCGACCTCGGGGCCCCGGCGCCGGGCTTCACCTGGGACGGCCATAGCGCTGGAAGACGGCAAGGAGGCGGGGGGAGGCGTCGCACGAGCCCTGGGCTTCCGAGAAGACCCGCCGCCCGCCTGCAGCGAGGCCCGCAAACGGCGAGGGCGGCCTCTTCCTCCGGCCGGCGCCGCGGGACCGCGGTGACAGTCCGGGAAGGCCGCTGGCAACAGCGGAACCCAAGTCCCGTCGATGCCGTTTCCGCGGGGGGAGGCCTATTGCAGAGCACACACGGTCCGAACCATTGCCGCCCGCTCCCGGGGGGGGGAGCGGAGGGGAGGAGTGAATAAGACCCGAGCCCGTTTACTGAGGTTAAACAACACCAAGGCTTAGAGATTGCTTTTTTCAAAAGGAGTACCACAGATTCAATTAATGTGTCGGTTCTTAGCGGTCTTTTCTTCCCCCCCTCCTCTGAGGCTATTGGAATCCCCCCTCCTCGGGATTAGCGGTGCTCAGGTCCAGGAGCGACATGGCGGCGCCCGTGAGGGACTAGTTTGGGGGGGAAAGGTAGTGGCTGGTGTCGCCGTCTTGGGGGCACTGACGCCCTGGAGCGCTCCGCGACCCCCCGAGAGAGGGAGCTGCGCTGGTAGGGGCGGCGGGAGGGGTCGGCCTTCCGGCCTCATTCGCAACCCGGAGCGGAGCCCCGAGGACCGGGCGGCATGAGCAACATCTACATCCAGGAGCCTCCCACCAACGGGAAGGTGAGGGCCTCGCCTGGGGCCGCGGGCTCCTCCGGGACCGCTCGGCAGCCGGGCGTCCCGTCCTCCGCATCCCCGGGCGCGGCCTCCCACACCATCTGCGCGCTCCGCCCCGCGGGTACGCGCCAGTCCTCGAGGCCACGTTCCCGCACCTCCCGGCCCGCGGCCCCACTTCTTGCTTCAGCCTGGCTCAGGCAGGCGTCCTCTAGGGCCCAGGGGGAAACAGAAGTACACTGAAAACTGGTTTGTTTTTATTTATATTTATTTGTTTATATTTTTATTTACGTTTTATTTATTTATATTTTATTTATATTTTTATTAATTTATATTTTATTTGTTTATATTTTATATTTGTTTATATTTATATTTATATTTATATTTTTATTAATTTATATTTTATTTGTTTATATTTTTATATTTTATTTATTTATATCTATATTTACTTATATTTATATTTATTTACGTTTTATTATATTTTATTTATTTTTATTTTTAACTTTTATTTTTTAATTTTTTATTTTTACTTATTTTTAATTTTTATTGATTTTTAGGTTTTAATTTTTAATTTTTATCGATTTTTAATTTTAATTTTATTTATTTTTATTTTCTATTTTTATTTGTAATTTTTAATTTTTTAATTAATTTTTGATTTATTTATTTTTAATGTTGATTTTTATTCATTTTTATTTTTTAATTTTTATTTTTTATTTTTTATTTATTTTCTATTATTTTTGATTTTTTAATTTTTATTTATTTTCTATATTTTTCTATTTTTATTTATAATTTTTAATTTTTTATTGATTTTTATTTTTAATTTTTATTCTTTTTTATTTTATTTTTTAATTTTAATTTTTATTACTTATTTTTAATTTTTATTCTATATTTTTGATTTTTGATTTTTAAATTTTTATTTTTATTTATTTTGATTTTGATTTTTTATTTTCTATTTTTTTTGGTTTTTTAATTTTTATTTATTTTCTATATTTTTCTATTTTTATTTATAATTTTTTATTTTTTGATTTTTATTTTTAATTTTAATTTTTTATTTTTTAATTTTAATTTTTATTACTTATTTTTAATTTTTATTCTATATTTTTGATTTTTGATTTTTAAATTTTTATTTTTATTTATTTTTATTTTTTCTATTTTTATTTTTGGTTTTTTAATTTTTATTTATTTTTTATATTTATTTACTATGTTTATTTTTTATATTTATTTAGCTATCTATCTATTTTTGGTTTACTTGGGAACTACTCTTTCTCTATTCCTTCTACAATCTTTTATTGAACGCCTGGTGGTAGCCTTGGGCCCTGTACTAGGTGCTGGGGCTGCAGTGAAGGATGAAGGTGTAGTGGTCGCCCTGGAGGAGCTCACGGTTTTGTTTGGGAGGCAGGCATGTAAAGAAAAAACTTTGTGATGCGTCTGGTAGGCACGCTTGTGGTGAGAGGAGGCTAGTGGTATGGGAGCACTAAAGAGGGAGCAACTGCGGGAGGCAGGAAAGCTTCATGGATGAGGGATTTTTTTTTAGAGCTGGCTTAAAACACGAGATGACTGTCAGAGAAAGCAGAGAATGGGAAATGTGCCTACATTAGAATGGGAGCATGATTTCCTGATTTTTTTTAAGATTTTATTTATTCATGAGAGACCCAGAGAGAGAGAGAGAGAGAGAGAGAGGCAGAGACACAGGCAGAGGGAGAAACCGGCTTCATGTGGGGAGCCAGACATGGGACTCGAACCCAGGACCCTGGGGTCACTGACCTGAGCCGAAGGCAGATGCTCAACCGCTGAGCCACCCAGGTGTCCCCGCAATTAAAACTTCACTTAAATATACTAGTTACTATATGTACATATATATGAACATTCAGGATAACAAATGTTTTCCTGTTCTCCCTTAGAAGAAAAACAAACTGACTTTTTAAAAAGAATTGATGAGAATCCAGAGAAATACTTCATTTATTTATTTATTTATTTATTTTAAGATTTTATTTATTTATTCATGAGAGACACACAGAGGCAGAGACTCAGGCAGAGGGAGAAGCAGGCTCCTTGCAGGCAGCCCGATGCAGGACTTGATCCCGGGACTCCTGGATCACGCCCTGGGCCAAAGGCAGATGCTCAACCGCTGAGCCACCCAGATGTCCCCTGATATCTTGATTGATTTAATGGCCATGGTATGTCAATTCCCATGGAAGATTTTTATATGCAGTGTGAGTCAGAGGAGTCAGTCATGGAATCAGTATCACCTGAATTCTTAAACTGAGGGCTAGTCTGTATCATGTAGACAACACCATGAAGCAGCATACTGGAGAAAATAGTGGAGCTGAAAGTACATAGTTGAGGAGGGGTAGACTAAATTCACATCAGATACAATGCTGTCGCATGATTGCATCATAGTTCATGCAATTTTCTGTTGGTCGACATTTTGTAATACAGGGAAGGCATTTTGAAAACAAAACCAATAATGTTGTCATTGATAGCCCCAGCACAAACTTCACTGGGTATTTTGAGCAATTCTTCTAATTCTTTGTTGTCTAAACTTCGCCTGCCTCCTCACCCCTAACCTCGCATCATTGTGAAAACTCAGAACACCTCCTTCATATTTCTAAGTGTTCTTTTTTTTTTTTTTTTAAAGAATTTATTTATTTACTCATGAGAGAGAGAGGCAGAGACACAGGCAGAGGGAGAAGCAGGCTCCATGCAGCCTTCTCTTAAAGTATTAAGCATCAGTGAGTTCGAGGTTATAGTGTTGCTGGTCAAGGGAAGATTTAGTGCTTTACCCTGGAGGATGATTTGACATGGTCATAAAGAGGAAAAGCTTTAACAGAGATACATGCCTGAACAGGACAACTTTTATTGAGCAACTAGCACGGACCAATCTCTATGCTAGATTTTAGGGATATGAGAAAAAGAAAATCCAGCATTGTTCCTATTATCATGGAATCAGTGGGGTGAAATATACATTCACCAAGTAATCATGCAATAAGTACATGCAAACTGTGATATACGCTGTCCTTCTGAAACAGAATTGGGCTTACAGAGAATATCAGGCATAGCCAAAGTTTTCCTTCAAAAACAACTGGGGACTTTTTTTTTCCAGCATAAGACCAATTAAAGATATTGAAGTTTCAAAGTTCTGTACCATGGAGAGCACCTGGAAAGAATTTAAAGAGATATAATAACAAATTTGCTCAGTGAATGCTTAGTGTCTATGCTGTCTAATGATACATTAGGTATTAAAAGAATAAGGAGACATTCAGAATATATGGGACAAATTCCTCCCTTCAAAGAGCTTAGTATCAACTGGGAAGTAACTGACACATTGTATCAGTGGCAGACTCCTGGCCATTGTCTATAAATGTGCTGTGTTTTAGAGTTACTGTGGCCCCTCTGAAGATGAAGCACAGAAATACACCACCTGACAGAAATGTCATTATACAGTCAGCATGAAATTTCCATACTATGATCACTCAATTTATATCACATTAATATATTTATTCTTAAGAAACATTTTATTATCAAACTATTGTCTTATTTAGGAGCTTTGGAAAAAGGAGCCACTTATACCTGACAAAGTAGTGTTGGCCAATAGAAGTGCATAGAGGAGGGATATGCCTTTTTTTAAAAAAATTCTTTATTTAAATTGAATTTAGTTAACATATACTGTGTTATTAGTTTCAGCAGTAGAATTTAATGATCCATCAGTCTTATGTAACATCCAGTGCTCATTACATCACATGCTCTCCTTAATGTCAATCACCCAATTATCCCTTCACCCACTCACCTCCCCTCCAGCGGCCCTCAATCTGTTTCCTTAGAGGTCAGCATCTCAGGGTTGGCCTTCCTCTCTATTTTCATCTAATTTTGTTTTTCTTCCCTTGCCCTATGTTCATCTGGTTTGTTTCTTAAATTCACAAATGAGTGAAATCATCTGGTGTTTGTCTTTCTCTGACTTATTTCACTAATTCCATACACGGTGTTGCAGATGGCAAGATTTCACTTTTTGATGGCTGAGTAATATTCCGTTGTATAAATATGCCACATCTTTTTTTATCCATTCATCTGTCGATGGAATCTGGACTTTTTCCACATTATGGCTTTCATGGACTTTGCTGCTAAACATTGGGGTGCATGTGCCCCTTTGAACCACCATGTAGGTATTCTTTGGATAAATACCTAGTAGTGCAATTGCTGGGTTGTAGGATAGCTCGATTTTTAACTTTTTGAGGAACCTCCATACTGTTCCCGAGTGGCTGCACCAGTTTGCATTCCCACCAACAGTGCAAGAGGGTTTCCCTTTCTCCACATCCTCTGCAGCATCAGTTGTTTCCTGTCTTGTTAATTTTAGCCACTCTGACCAGTGTGAGGTGGTATCTCATTGTGGTTTTGATTTGTATTTCCTTGATACCCAGTGATGTTGAGCTTTTTTTCAAGTGTAACCATTTGTATCTCATCTTTGGAGAAATGTCTGTTAATGTCTTCTGCCCATTTTATGACTGGATTGTTTGTCTTTTGGGTGTTGAGTTTGTTAAGTTCCTTAAAGATATTGGATACTAGCTCTTAATAAGACATTTACAAATATCTTCTCCAATACCATTGCCTTAGAGTTTTGTTTTCTGTTTCCTTTGCTGTGCGAATGCTTTTTATCTTGATAAAGTCCTAATAGTTCAATTTTGCTCTTGTTTCTCTTGCCTTTGGAGATGTGTCTAGCAAAAAGTTGCTGCGGCCGAGGTCAAAGAGGTTGCCTCCTGTGTTCTCCTCTAGGATTTTGATGGATTCTGTCCCACATTTAAGCTTTTCATTCATTTTGAGTTTATTTTTGTATATGGTGTAAGAGAGTGGTCCAGTTTCATTCTTCTGCAGGTAGCTATCCAATTTTCCCAACACCATTTGCTGAAGAGACTTTTTTCCATTAGATATTCTTTCCTGTTTTGTCAAAGATTAGTTCCCCGCATGTGCCTTCTTTTTTAATTCAATATCTCATCAGTGGAAAGATTAAGAAAGTCTGGTAAGCAAGGTAGCCCAACCAATTATGCATTCCTTTTACTAGATGTAAGTTTACTGTGGCCAAAAAAATTATATAAGAATAATAACTACAATAGTAATAACTACCATTTTTTGAGCATTTACTATTTGTCAAGTACTGTTCAAAAGCTATGTATAGTAAATCATTTTGTCCTCACAACAAACCCATGAGGATATTTTGTCCCTGTTTTTAGATAAGAAAGTTGAGTCACAGGTATGTTAAATATCATGTCCGAAGTAAGAAAAGCTACCTTACCCTTTGTAAGTGAAAGGGTCAGTATTGGTATTTGAGCAACATGATTCCCTAGTCTGTAAAGGAAGGGATGATGTACATTAGTTTGTTCCTTAGAGCAGTGGCTTCTAAACAGTGAATGCACACTTTAGGGACTGAGCAAAACCATCCATGAAATGCAGGAAGAAAAATTATGTATTATATATATATTCTTCTGGTTGTATTTATTTTTTCCTTACTTGTTTAAATGTAATGTTTTATATATATAAAGGAACATATAGGGCAGCCCTGGTGGTTTAGCAGCTTAGTGCTGCCTTCAGGTGTGATCCTAGAGACCTGGAATTGAGTCCCACGTCGGGCTCCCTGCATGGAGCCTGCTTCTCCCTCTGCCTGTGTCTCTGCCTCTTTCTCTCTCTGAATTATACTAAAAACTACCTTTAAAAGGGTGAATTGTTTGGTATGTGAATTCTATCTCAGTATATATTATATATCTCAGAGTATTTTTTTTAGTTTCATTATACTACTAGTAAAGAAGATTCAGAATTATTTAAAAATACTGTTTTTATGTAATCCTTTGAAATATTTATCTTCTCCCAATTCTTACATCCCCCCCTGCCCACTTCCCTTTTCTTCTTTGCTGATAGGAATGCATGCTTTGAAAAAGCTGGAATTACTGTATTAGAGTTGCAAGGAAGAGAAGACATGTCTAGGTTCCCTTTGACAGTGACATTTTATTTCAGGTCTACAAGGTGATAATAGGTAGGACAGGATATTATCTTTTTAAATATACTGTACTTTTAGGATTGAGATATATAACTGGTTTTCATGCAGAATAAGGAGGTGTTACCCAGGTTTCTAGATACAATCTAGGGAGTTACTCAGCCACTCATTTAACATCCCAGACATATACCTCTCAAGAAAATGAGAAACCAGGTGGGTTGGTTTGTCACAATAGAGTATTTCTTTTTCTTTTCTTTTAAGATTTTATTTATTTACTTGAGAGAGAGACACCACCCACATGAGCCAGGAGAGGGAGAAGCAGACTCCCCGTTGAGTGGGTAGTGGGTAGCCCGGATGAAGGGCTCAATCCCAGGACCTTGAGATCATGGCCTGAGCTGAAGGCAGCCACCCAGGCACCCCCATGATAGAGTATTTCTTTTGGGCACTGTTTTCATGCCAAGCCAAGTTAGAAGTCCTTACCTTCATGGGCTGGTAAAACAGAGGCTAGCAACGGATTCCAGTGTAGATGGTGATTTTTGTGACATACCATTTTAGTAACATGCAACCTAAAATTAGATTAAGAAGTTTCATTGTAAATTAGGAATGGCATGATTTGTTGTGGGGTTGTTTTTTGTTTTTGTTTTTTTGAGATAGAGTGCATGAGGGCTGGGGTTGGGAAGAGAGAGAGAGAGAGAGAGAGAATCTTAAGCTGACTCCCCACTTAGCACGGAGCCCAACAAGGGTCTCCATCGCATGACCATGAGATCATGACCTGAGCCAAAATTAGGAGTCAGGCACTTAACTGACTAAGCTATCCAGGTGCTCCAGGAATGGCATGGTTTTGGATGAGAAAGTGGAGTGTTTTGTATATAAAAAAAAATTGTAAAATTGTCTTATAGTGTCAAAATTTCATGGGTTCATTCTTTAACTTCTTAATTTGCTATGTCAATTTTATTGGAAGAAAAGTTGCAAAAAAATTAAAGCAAGTTTAAATGATTTTTAAGTAAGTTTTTCTGATTGAAACAAAAGTATATGCTATTTTTTTTCTTAAATCCTAAATTGGGTTGTGTAAGTTCTTTATATATTTTAGATATTAACCCCTTATCAGATACATCATTTGCAGATACCTTCTTCCATTCATTAGGTTGCCTTTTCTTTTTGCTGGTGGTTACCTTTTCTGTCCAGAGCTTTTTATTTTGGTGTAGTCCCAATAGTTCTTTTTGCTTTTGTTGCCCTTGCTGGAAGAGTTATATCTATAAAAATGTCACTAAGACCAGTGTCAAACTACTGTCTTTTCTTCTAGGAGTTTTATGGTTTCGGGTCTCACATTTAAGGTTTTAATCCATTTTGAGTTTATTTTTATGTACGGTGTAAGAAAAGTGGTCCAGTTTCATTCTTTTGCATGTAACTATCCAGTTTTCCCAACACCAGCTGTTGAAGAGACTGTCTTTTTTCCTGTTGTACTTTGTAAATTTTTTGAGTATAACAAGAAAAGCCCAGCAAAGTTTTTAATTTTAACTCTAAAATTGAAAACTCATTAATGGGGCAGCCTGGGTGGCTCAGCGGTTTAGCACCGCCTTCAGCCCAGGGCCTGATCCTGGAGACCCGGGATCTAGTCCCATGTCAGGCCCCCTGCATGGAGCCTGCTTCTCCCTCTGCCTGTGTCTCTGCCTCTCTCTCTCTCTCTCTCTCCCCCTCTCTCTCATGAATAAATACATAAATAAAATCTTTAAAAAAAAAAACTCCTCAATGAATCTTTCAAATTGAGTAGTCTTTCAACTAATTTTCAAGCCAAAATTATAATTTAATGTAATGATGTTGTATTCTTCCTACAGGTTTTATTGAAAACTACAGCTGGAGATATTGACATAGAGTTGTGGTCAAAAGAAGCTCCTAAAGCTTGCAGGAATTTCATTCAGCTTTGTTTGGAAGGTAATTATAACTTTTGAGTTTTATTCTGTAGGAGAAATTTTGTTAAACTGAATTTTCCCACAATATTGAAGCTTGCTGTTAAATGGTGACGAATGATAGGAGTTGACCTCTTGTGTCAGGAAATAGAGGATATAAAAGATTGTCTTTCAAATAAATCTATGTATCTTTAGCAGGGAAATTTATCTCACCAATAAAACTTTGTTCCTTTTTGATCTTTTTGTTTATTCCCCACTTCTTTCTTTCATCCTCTAAGTAAGGATACTCCCTAAGATTGCCTTGAGTTCTCCATTGTCTTTACTCTTTAGTTGTTACTTCTATCCAAATAACTATGATATTTAGAATTCCACCCATTTCCTCTCTACTTACTCTAATTTACATATCAAAGTGCCTAGTTGACTTTTTTACTCCAATCTTCCTCTGTCAACTGTAACTAAACCAGACTGCCTTGACTTTGATCTACATGATGGGGTTGTCTTTTACCTGGTCTTTCTCTGTCACCTTTAATCTATTTATCCTCTTTTATATTCATCTGGTAGCTGAATCCTCAGATGGCTTGGCTTCCTAGCTTTCCAGCCTTGTTTTTCATTACACTAAATAAAAGTTTCAGTTGACTGTTTTCATTTCCTAAGCAGTTCCTTCCCATTTCCACTTTCACACCTACCCTCTTATCTTCCTTCATATCCTCAGTCTCCTTTTTGAAATACTTTCTTTCTTTCTTTACTGTTTAAGTCTATCCACTTTTTAGTCTCTATCCAGAATTCCACCTTCTCCACGAAGCTTTCCATCCAGAATTCACTGATTCCTATCAATGTCTTAAGTATGATTTTAGACTGAGTCATGAAGTGACTATTTTTCTTTCAATAAACTTTACAGAATTATACATCCACCTGAGTGTTTTCTCCTTCAAGATATTCTCTTATATAACTAAACATTTTAAACATTTTTGTAACTTGTTAGCTTTTAGAATACATGGCATATGGTTTTGAATATACCCAATGGTGGCAAATCATTATCTTTCTAAGTTCTATCTGATTTGTAGAGACAGACAAGGTTAATCAGGTATCAGAAAGCAGTGTTTTGAGTCAAAAGCAAGGTGTGAAAGAGAATCCAGTATAATCAATAGGAGGGTACAGCAAGAGCTCTCCAAATAGGTAATAATTACAAAAATAATTACCAGAGGAAGATTTAAAATATAAAAATACATAGCCTCCCCCCCCCCCCGAAAAAAAAATGCCGAGAGAGAGAGAGACATCTGCGAAGACCATTATTGATAATTGCTATGGCAGGCAGGAAGGAAATTGAGTCAGACAGGTAGTACAGTCAGAAAAGCCTCAAATAACTATCAACAGAACCAAGAAACACAGTAGACATAGAAAAGTCAGACTTGTTTCTGGAAAGAAGTTTTGAAGACTCAAAGCTCAAATTTTACAGGGGAAGAGTGAAAGTACAAAAACATTAGAAAGAATGAATGGTAATTAATAATCCATGACCAGGTGAATGGAAGAAACAGAAAACATCTGGATATAATATGATAGTGAAGAAGAAATAAAGTCCTTAAGTTAGGTCATGGTGGAACTTATTTAGAACAACAAAAAATTATTCCCCTATTTATAAGAATACAAGGAGAAAGAAAAAAGAGTAGTAAAACCATTAGAAAAATAACTAGAACAATTCTTTTAATTGATCAAGTGAAAGATAGAATTATTACTGCAAAGTCTAACAAACCTGAGAAAGACTAATTTAAATGAAGATACGCCCAAATAAAGTCAGTTTTAAAAATGTAACTTAGAGAACCCCATTTTAATTCACTAATTCTATGATTTAAACAAGTCATGATATTTCTAGATCTTGTAACAACATATCAGTATTTTCTTCAAAAAGGGATGATTTCCAGAATTAAAAAGGAAAGGAGTAAAAACCAGGAAGGTGGAGCATGACATAAATATGCCAATTAAAGGGAAGTTTTTAGTCTTTATTTTTTTTAGACTTATTGAGGTATTATAGACAAATAAAAATTGTATATATTTAGGTTGTACAACATGATTTTTAAAGATGTACAATGTGGTGATTCAAGATATATATATATATACTGAGAAATGGTTATCCAAATGAAGTAATGCATCCATCACCTCACATAGTTACCTTGTGAGTGTGTGTATGTGGTGAAAACACTTAGCAAATTTCAAGTATACTATACAGTACTTTTAACTATAATCACCATGCTTTTTTCCTCTGAAGTATGAGGAAGGAGTAAAATTCTAGGCTGGCAAAACAAAGTGGGAAGCAGAAATATTTAACAAAAAACAAAAAGGCTAGGGGATGCCTGGGTGGTTGAGCGTCGGCCTTTGGCTCAGGGCATGATCCTGGGATCCAGAATCGAGTCCCACATTGGGCTCCTTGAAGACAGCCTGCTTCTCCCTCTGCCTTTGTCTCTGCTTCTCTCTGTATTTCTCATGAATAAATAAGTAAAATCTTTAAAAAAAAAAAGTGGCTAAAATAAATAGGGCAGACAGATAACTGTGAGTTTTAAATAAATATTTATAAAATTAAACATAAGCACCAGATTCTGGAAGAAATACACATAAACCACATAAAAATGCATATGTAAATTCCTATATTGTACTTGGCAGAAATACAATTAGACAAAGTATATTATGAGACACATATATTGTACTGCCAGAAATACAAATATAATGGAAAATGCCAGAACCACAGCAGCCAAATAGGAAATTTCATATTTAAGGTACATGAAAATATCTTTCTTCAATTCAGGAAAATTCAGGAGGGTGCTATGAACACACATAATGAAATTATAAAGCCTTTCTTCAAAATCCTTATGGGACTGATACATAAATATTTAAGAAGTCAAATAAACATTGCATGCAGCAGAATCTATTACAGTACATAGTAAACTTTAAGGACAACCATAATGCATAGTTTAGCAGTATTATTAAGTCACATGGAAATAGATATGAATATGGAATTTTGTGGAAATTTGAAATTTTAGCTCTGGTAGAGTGCAAAATCATGGTGTAGAGGAATTATAGAAAGTTCCTACTCAGTATATATAGTATTGTAATTTCATTCATCTAACAGGAATACAATTAGGAAAATTTAAAAAAAAAGCTAACTTTAATAAAAATATATAAAAATAAAATAAAATAGCTTAAAGTAAAAAGCCAGTATCACTGAAGGGCTTAAGAGGAAATAGGAAAATGAAGATGGGTAATTTTAAAATTTGAAAGCACAAGTAATAAAGATGTCTTTCATGTTCCCCTTTCCTCACATCTAATGGATTACTGAGCCCCTGCTTCCTGGAGGATTCTTAAATATATGCACCTCAATATAATCCACAGTCAGGTTTTACTTTAAGGACAAGAAGTTGCTCCCTCTCACTCAGCCATGTCGCTTCCATTCCATTCTCCATACTGGGAGTTTGAGTGATCTTTGAAAAAAGCAGATCTGATTTAAAAAAAAAAAATGTCAATTGGCTGTATATTATGGACCTAACAGATTATTAATCACTTTCTGATATAGACTGGGATATGTTTTATATTTAAATTTCTAGAATTTAAGTGAAAATACTACAGTTTGATGTCACATTTGTGTTGAATTTAAAATTTATAGATTACCTCCACATTATCTTAATCTTCAGAACAACACTGTGAGTTAATTTAAAATATTAATTTTATAATAAGAAAATTATATGTACAGCATGGTGGACAATAGTTAATAGTACTGTATTGTGTATTTGGAAGTTGCTAAGAATGTAGATCTTGTTCTCATGACAAGAAAAAGGAATTCGTAACTATGTGAGGTGCTAGATGTTGATGAGACTTACTGTGGTAAACGTTGCACAACATATATAAATATTGAATCATTATGTTGTACACCTGAAACCAATATAATGTTAAATGTCAATTACATTTCAATTTTTTAAAAAGGGTGGGAAAAATTCTGTTTAAGGCTACCCAGCCAAGAGGCAAAACTCAGCACTCCTGACTGTTACATAGTGTCAGCCTGAGTAAATGGTTACTTAAGGATACAGGAGGGATACTTTCAGACTCAGTTTTTACAGTTTCTCTTTGTAACCAAGGAGCACTTGTTTGCACTGGGAATCTCTTGCCAGTGTAGCTTTAAAGTATGGATTTGGGGAAGCTGAGGTGGCTTGGTGGTTGAGCGTCAGCCTTCATTCAGCTCAGGGCATGGTCCTGGGGTTCTAGGATTGAGTCCCACATTGGGCTTCCTGCAGGGAGCCTGCTTCTCCCTCTGCCTATATCTCTGTCTCTCTCTCTGTGTTTCTCATGATTACAGAAATAAAATCTTTAAAAAAAAATTAAAGTATGGATTTTATATCCAATTATACCTTGCAAGTGTAAATAATTATGAAGGTGCCTGCAAGTTATTGTATTCTAGTACTTTATGAATTATGATAAACCATAGTCTTGTTTTGATTCATAAAGTAGGCACTTGACTAGTATTTGTCTTAAAATGAATTAGGTTATGTTTAGGTACGAGTAAGAGAAGACCCAGTTCAATATTATTTACATAATAAAGACATTTATAATCCCATATGACAAGAAATCTGTTGTCAGGCAGTTCTGCAGCTCAGTGAAGCTTTCAGGAAACTACTTTTTCCATCTTTCTGTTTTGCAGTCCTAAGCACGTTGACCAAACTAGGACTACACTCAGTAATCAACTCCACTTCAGTCCACTCTGTTGCTACCTGTTATTTGTTTCTTTGTTTTTACAACAATGATAATAGGTCTTGTTTATTCAGCATTTCCTTCAGGGCTACACATATGTTCTACATATACTTTCCTCTTATACTTATTTCATTAATTAATGTAAGTTCAAAACTAACTTGATTGAAATAAAATAATTTCTTTCATTCAAGTGATCTTTTATAAAAAGGTGAAATTCACATAATATGAAAGTAGCCTTTTCAGACAATTCAGTGATATTTAGTATATTCACCATGTTATGCAACCAGCCCCTCTTATTAATTTCAAAACATTACACCAAAACAAAACACTCACTAAACAGTCATTCCCATCTTCCAGCAAGCACACAATCTGTTTTCCATCTCTACAGATTTACCTCTTCTAGATGTTTCATATAAATGGAATTATATAATATGTAACTTTGTGTCTGTCTTCTTTCACAAAGCATATTTTTGAGGTTCTTCTATGTCTCAGTGTATATCAGTACTTCATTCTCTCCTTTGGCTCAGTAATATTACATTGTATGTATATATCTGATTTTGTTTATCCATTCACAGACTGATGGACATTTGTTTCTACCTTTTAGCGGTTGCAAATAGTGCTGCTGTGACATTCATTTAGTACTTGTTTTCAGTTTTTGGGGGCTATGTTCATAGAAGTGAATTTGATGGATAATTTTGTGTTTAAATTTTACAGAGCAATAATTACAGCATAACAACAACCATGCTTTTTGTAGAAATTATGCTGTTTTGAGTAGACATCTTGTAGTAAGTAGGGGAGAAAGGGCTTGGTTTATGAGCCTATTTAAAAGTCTGAGAAAAACATCTTGTGATTCTAATTATATTAATTCTGAAAGCTATATACTTCATTTTAGACTTTGCTAAATTATTTTCGATTTCTTTCAGCATATTATGACAACACCATTTTTCATAGAGTTGTACCTGGTTTTATAGTCCAAGGGGGAGATCCTACTGGCACAGGGGCTGGTGGAGAGTCCATCTATGGAGCCCCATTCAAGGTAAAACCGAATTTTTATTGTTGTTTATTTGCAAATCAGTTTGGATTGCTTAATCAAAAATGACTGTGCCCTACATGAAAGAAAAGTGCATTTCACATTTGTGCACAAAATCTGGCTAACTTTATCACATGTTTAGGATTATACAGTTATAAGAGCAGCACTTCTATCAAGCATTCTAAGTTGTCTTATTGCTAACTTTTATGCTAGACTGAATTCAGGTGGAACTACAGGGAGTCATGAGGAAAATGTGAGTCAGAAAAAAACTAATATAACTTAATTCTTGATATCTGACTGTATCTGATCTCTGGAATTCTGTAAATGTAAAGGATTTTTAGGACATTTCATATGCTATCATATTTTAAAATATTTTATTTAACACTATATGAAGTTTATATTAATCTGCTTGGATTGTTATAATAAAATGTAACTGATGGGTTGGCTTAAACAATAACAATTTATTTCTCACAGTTCTGGAGGCTAGGAAGTACAGATCAGCTTAGCATGCAATTTCTGGTGAAGGATCTCTTCCTGGCTTGCAGATGGCCACCTGCTCGCTGAGAGAGCATGAGCTCTGGTGTCTCTTCCTTTTTTTTATAAGGGCACTAGCACTATTGGATTAGGGCTTCGTACCTATGACAAGTCTTATTATTTCCTTACAGCCCTTTCTCCAATATAGTCAAAATGGGGATTAGAGTTTCATCATATGAATTTTGGGGAGACACAATTCACTCTAAAGCAGAATTCATTCTAAATTAATGCACAACAGACCTCTGTAGTCTAAAATGTATGCCATAACAGGAAATCACAAGGGACAGAAGAAAGAATTAACCTAAAAAATGTTAGGAAAAAAATGTATTAATCAAGAATAGGTCAGTGATTTGTTAACTGCCAACAGATCTAAAAAGAAAAAAAGAGGTAATGTCATAGTTAAAATACAAAAAATAACAGTGGGTTCAAATAAAAAACTACAAGTTAGGTTATTTATTAATCTGATGTTACCAATGTCATATTCTTTGAATGAGTAAACATCAGTGGCTCTTAAAATACAAGAATTTTTAAAGACATCATGTTGATACTAATGAAAGGGCCTGAAGTTTCTTTTAATTTTTTACTGGGTTACTGTGTGATTCTTGAGAAAAATACTTGAACTATTTGCTTTAATTTCCAGACAACAATGGCCTTACAAAATGAGGTATTGTTATAATTTTAAAAATCTCACATGTCACTATAAAACGCTATTTTGGGGACCCTGGGTGGCGCAGCAGTTTAGCACCTGCCTTTGGCTCAGGATGCAATCCTGGAGACCCGGGATCGAATCCCACGTCGGGCTCCCAGTGCATGGAGCCTGCTTCTCCCTCTGCTTGTGTCTCTGCTTCTCTCTCTCTCTCTCTCTCTCTCTCTCTCTCTCTCTCTCTCTCTCTCTCTCTCTGACTATCGTAAATAAATAAAAATTTAAAAAAAAACATGCTATTTTGTATTTTACCAAATTGAGATATCTCATGATTTTAGAGCTTCCATCTAGTAGGAAGCATTCCTTTATTCTACTGTTTGGTGTAACAGAATAGTATTTTCTCACAATTCCTTTCTAAATTGAGTTTTTTTTTTTTTTTTTTTTTTGCTTATTATAGAATACTGTTATCTTGTTAAATTTTTCAATTAGGCCATTTTTTTTTAAGATTTTGTTTATGTATTCGTGAGAGACACAGAGAGAGAGAGGCAGAGACACAGGCAGAGGGAGAAGCAGGCTCCATGCAGGGAGTCCCAATGTGGGACTCTATCCCAGGACCCTGGGATCATGACCTGAGCCAAAGGCAGATAGATGCTCAACCACTGAGCCACCCAGGTTCCCCTCAAATTAGGTCATTTTTGATACAATATACAGAGTTAAAGACTCTTTGAGCTCAAATCTTTTGAGTTATTTATTAAGGAAAAATAACTTTCTTTCTGAAAAGCATTGATTGCATAATATGGCTATTTTACACATGAGTCTAGTAGTATCAGGTCTGGGTAGGAATTCTGTTAACTGAGAAACTAACATATGTTATGTAGCCCTGCCGTAGCAAGAAATCCACCTTAGAAAGGCTTTCTCTTGCTCTTTGGAAAACTGGCCAATGAGACAAAGGCCAGTTCAGAAAAGATTCACCAAAGACCTTTAAAAAAGAGTAAAGGAGGGATCCCTGGGTGGCGCAGCGGTTTAGCGCCTGCCTTTGGCCCAGGGCGCGATCCTGGAGACCCGGGATCGAATCCCACGTCGGGCTCCCGGTGCATGGAGCCTGCTTCTCCCTCTGCCTGTGTCTCTGCCTCTCTCTCTCTGTGACTATCATAAATAAAAAAAAAAAAAAAAAAAAAAAAAGAGTAAAGGACATAATACAATTATAGTAGATTCCTTAAATTGAAAAACAAGAAGCAATTTTTTCATGACCTTTAGAATGGAGTGAGGAGGGGAATAGCTGAAAACTCTGCAGTGATTCAAAGGTAGTTTTTTTGGAGGAAAAAATAGAAAGTTATAAAAAGTTAGAGAACTTTGAGGGATGGAAACAGGGGAATGACCTTAGAGGTGCCCTTTGTTTCTGTGTATTTAGGCTAAATTTGTGGTTGAGTATATTTAGAAGATGCTTACAGGCTAGTGAAGTAAGTTTAATAGAATTGAAGGAATAGTAAGTATTGGATTTGATTATACTTGAAAATCAGTTAAATAAAACTTTGGCATTTTTTATTAGAAGTTGTATAGGACCTTCTTAACTGAATATGAAGACCCTTATAACAGATTATTTACTAAATTATCTTTATTTTAATTTTTTTTATGCTTCAGGATGAATTCCACTCACGGTTACGTTTTAATCGGAGAGGACTGGTTGCCATGGCAAATGCTGGTCCCCACGATAATGGAAGCCAATTTTTCTTTACACTGGGTCGAGCAGATGAACTTAACAATAAGCATACCATTTTTGGAAAGGTTTGTGTTCAGTTATCTTCAGCTTCTCTGATGCATATGACCAACTTACATAGGAGCTGCCCTCATCAAAATATCTCCTTGGCTATGTATTTATTATTTCTAAAAATGATGGGATATATTCCTTTTACAATGAACTATGAGGGAGTTGAGTTTTTTTGCGTATATGTTTCAATTAAGTCATTGATTATGACTTTAAATTTTCTTTTTTCTTAAATCATACTAATGATATTAGCTACTGTATCACTCAGCTGATATTGTTTTTATATTTTTTAGAAACCTAGGTTTTATCTAGGTAACAACATTTAGTAGTTTAATGTTTATTTTTGTAAATGATGAATTCCCATAAGTTTACAGTGGAAGTTGTGTTGACATTAAAACTTTTTACCTGAAATATTACTTTGAATGTTACCTATTTAATCCTGCTCATATTTAACATCGTATCAGGGCATGTCATTTCCATAGAATTTTCAACAGTTGTCTTTAAAAGGAGATTCTGGAGGTTTTGTTTTCCTAGTCTCCCTTCTAAAAAATATGTTTATGGTTTAAGTCTAAATATGTTAGACATCACTAGTGTATCAGCTCCCTCTACTGGTTCAATAGGAATGGTTTCCCCACAGGCTAGGCAAAACAATTTTGTGAGGATGGAGAAAAAAAAACCAAACTGAGCACAACTGGAAAACTGGTATTATTTTAAAACTCCTGAGAAATGTTGAATGAAAGGACTTATGTAGAAAACATGTAATACAATATTGTTGCTTACAACTTAACAATATAGCTTAAGAAATATGCACATTTGAACCACTGCAACACAGGTTGTCTGATAGTCATAGATTTTCCTGTTATTTTTAAAAACTGAAAGCATATAATAAAATGAGATTTAGAATGTCTTTCTACACCACTTTTTACGTTGCTTATATAACTTTCCCATTAGAGACCAAGTATAACATAGCAATGAGAATTCAGAAGGGCCGTCACGGTCAGCTCTGTTACTTCTTTGAATCTCAGTTTTCTTATCTGGAGAAGGAAGATAATGGCAATACCTGCTTTTAGGATGTTTATGAGAATATAACAAGATAATGTCTGCAAAGCACTTACACATGGTATTGTTATTTGCTTGTTCTACCCAATTCTAAAATCTGAATTTGTTTATTTTGTTTGAAAAGTTGTCATTCAGTAGGAGGTTACTTGGCATCATATTCTCACTTTTAACAAAACCTGATATTAAATATACATTGGAAGTTTTCTAAAAATGTTATTGAGGGATTGAACTCCATTTCTGCTTTTGACCCTTTAAGATGAAGTTGCTTTATTTGCAATATTTAATGCATAGGCTCCTATAGAAAAATATGGGATTTCCTTTTAATTATTGAAAAAATATTTTCAGAAGCCCTCCCTTATTTCAGAGAATGAGTATAATAGTTTGCAGTTGAGCTCTTTCTTATTTGTTTGATAGGTCACAGGGGATACAATATATAACATGCTGCGGTTGACAGAAGTAGACATTGGTGAGGAAGAAAGACCACGTAATCCACACAAAATAAGAAGCTGTGAGGTAGGAACATGATTTCTGAGATACAGCACTTAAATTATCATGTAGAGAAGTGGACTGTTAGTATTTTTAAACTATTGGATGAAGGCTTTATATTGAATCAGCATTACAACTCAGATTGTATCTCTGTAATTCAGGCACAATTTCTGATTAAGAAATTTTTTTAAAATTGAAGGTTTTGGTTACAAAGATGAAACTTTAGTTGATTAATCCAGTGTATGAAAAGCTTGACTTGTAAGAGAAAGTTAGAAGAATAAGGCTTATTTAAGCTCAATGAAGTGCTTTCCTAGTAGTTCAAGAGTGATCCTTCATTGAGGAAGCAAGGTCCTCAAAAGCATTTATTTTGGGGTCAGAAGTCTGAGTTGGTCTTGCTTACGGGGTATTAAGTTTTCTTGAATACTTTTCCCTTTCCTAAAATAAAGATAAAATACCATTTACTTAATTGCACATAGGATTATCAGGAGAATCCAGAGAGGCCCTGTAAGTGGAAGCACTTTATGTAGTAAATATATCACTAGACTTATAAGAGTTATGTGAGCAAAAAAAAATACAGATTAATATCAATGCAAGTAAATACTAGTTTTAATTTTTTGTGAAATTTTTTGTAGGTTTTGTTTAATCCTTTTGATGACATCATTCCAAGAGAAATAAAAAAGCCAAAAAAAGAGAAACCAGAGGAAGAAGTAAAGAAATTGAAACCCAAAGGCACAAAGTAATCAGAAATAATAGAATAATAGAAATTCATTTATTTTGTTTACTTTTGTAACAACTGTTTACTAATGAGGGGGAGGCCAGTGTGGACTGGGAAGCTATCTGAATTATGAGGTTGTTGTTTTTTTTCTCTATGTATTTCTTTTGTTTAAGTGCTGTATGTAACTTAAGCTAAAGATGTCAGATGTCTATATGAGATCTGTACTAATAAATATTTGTGATCACTATAAAAATTATTTATATAAATGAGTTGTTGAAAATTATTCTTTGTTTTTTACTTGTTTTTCAATTAATATATGCTCCGTGTAAAGCACTTGGAAAATCAAGTATGGAGGATAGAACGACTGCATTGTTACATAATTTAAGTTTTTCACTTCTGTTTTGGAGTAAATAAGTTTCAGTATCTTATGAACAATATTTTTCACATTATTAGTTTTGCTTATTTTAATAAAATAGATTTCAGAGAGTTAGATTTCAACTTCCTCTTTTGATGAATTATAGCATCCATATTAGTAACTTTAGTGTATTCATAATTGTTAGATTCAGACAGCTCTTTTTTTTTTTTGATTCAGACAGCTCTAAGTCTAATCCTGCCTGACGCCATTTATATGAAGCAAAGTGTGTTCATATTTCTGAGCTTCAGTTTCCTCATCTTATAAAATGGAGATTATAATTACAACATCTGGTTGTTATGAAGAGAAAATAAGCAGGGGGAATTTGAAAATACCCAGTGGATTAGGTATTCAATCACATTTGTTTCTTTCTGTGACATCCTACATTATAAGGAAGTTAAGCTGCTTTTATAAACTGTCAAACATGAGCCACTTCAATAAGCCCTTAATGTCTTGTGGCGAAAAAAATTCTTATAGCTGAATATTTGATATTCTTCTATTTTTTGATTTATTTATTTTGACTAATTGATCCTTGCGTGAAAGGTTACAGTCCCCATATTCAGATAAAATATTTCATCACTATCCATTATCTTGATAACAGCCCAAAAGTTGGGTGTTTTGGATTTTGTTTTTAATTTATAGCAAATATATTAGGGATGATGTGGCAGTCATTGATTACATCTAGGTTTTGAAATAAAAATTCCTCTGGTTGCCAAATCTTTTATTTTTTTTTTAATATCTGAGAGAGAGTTTTAATAACTTATTATTTATCTTCCTTGGGATGTCTTTAGTTTGAAGCCTCAAAGAGGACAAACAGTTTATTCTTCCCCATGGGCTATTTTTTTTGTTAAGTTTATTGCTTATATATTTTTTTTATTTAACAATGTGTATCTTATCAATTTTTAAATACTGAGACATTTTGGAAGACACTAGATTAATTCTCATTTGTAGTGCTCTCAGGGCTATATATTTATTAGGTTTTCAGAAATCTATTTTGCTAACCTGTTTTTATAAATATAAAAAGCTTAATTATTTCTGTCATGTTTGACTTGATATATTTAATAGGAGTGCTCGGGATGGATTTTTGGTCATTAGTTTCATCTAATATATGAAATATCTGTGGTCTGAGGCCAATGTCTTAGCATTATACTGATCCTTACTATATTTCTGCTGAATACAGAAATTGTGTTCATTGTGTGAACAGCCAAAATGTGTTTCTTCTTGTAAATTCTATTTTATCGCCTTGAAAATACAGTATTTATAAGTTTTGTTTAATTTTCTCAATTTTCTTTCATTCTTTCCTTTTTTTGATAAGAAATTTTAGTTTACTTTCATTTGGAGAGGAAGCTGAAGAAGAAGAGGAGGAAGTAAATCGAGTTAGTCAGGTAAAACTCTAATCCCTTTGTTCTGAATTGCAAAAGACATTAGGGTCTATATCTCATTCATTTTTGTATCTTTTGCACAGTGTATTTTTCACAGTACACCAGCAGGAAGTGTTCATTGAACTGATTTGTAAAATGATTTCTTGTCAGTAATATTTGCAACTCCTAAGATGATATGCCCACTTGAAATTGTAATTTTGTGGGGATTTTTAACCTTTTTTTTTTTTTTAATCAGAACTGGAGTTAAAAAATGATTCAACTTTGTGATTCAGATTTTAATTGCTATTTGCTCAAGTGGTTTGCTAGATGATAATGATTATGGTCATTATGTCAATAAATAGTGACAGACCAAAGCTCTTATATTCATTTTAATATTATCTGTTAATATTTATTAATGTCATTAATTCTCATCACAGCCCTTTGAAATAGGTATTTTTATCTTCATTTTACCCACAAAGAAATTAAGGTATAGATAGGTTATAATTTCCTCAGTCACACAACCAGTAAATGCTCGGATTTGAACCTATGTCTCCCTCAGTGTAAGATACATGAATTTAGAGCAGTGGATCTGTTAAATATACTCTAAAAAAATCATCCTCAAGAGTTTTTACTCCCAAAGATTCTGGTATGTCTTCCCTCAGATGATAAAGAAATGATGGAAATTTGTTGGGAGAGTCAAATGGGAGAAAAGCCAGGGGAGTTGGGGATACAGGCAGTTTAGAGGATTATAATAATAGTAGAGTGTTGAAGGGCACTTGCTGACTCAGTCCTTTAAGTGTCTGATTTTTTATTTCGGTTCAGGTCATGATCACAACATCGTGAGATCGAACCCTATGTGGAAGATTCTCTCTCTCCCTCTCCCTCTGCCCCACCCCTTCTCTCTCTCTTAAAAAAAAAAATATAATTAGTTAAAAGTAATAGTGGAGGGTTGAAATGTAGAGTTTTTTGGGTTTTTTTTTTTGTTTTTTGGTTTTTTTTTGTTTTTTTTTTTTTTAGTGGATAATTCCTGTCCTTTTATCTGTTTGTAAAGAAAACATAACGCCTTTATTTATTTTTTTTTAAGTTTTTATTTATTTATTCATGAGAGACACACACAGAGAGAGAGGTAGAGACACAGGCAGAGGGAGAAGCAGGCTCCATGCAAGGAGCCTGACGTGGGACTCGATCCCGGGTCTCCAGGATCACACCCTGAGCTGCAGGCGGCACTAAACCACTGCGCCACCGGGGCTGCCCCATAACGCCTTTATTATTTTTTTTAAATTTTTTTTACTTATTTATGATAGGCACACATTGAGAGAGAGAGAGAGAGAGAGGCAGAGACACAGGCAGAGGGAGAAGCAGGCTCCATGCACCGGGAGCCCGATGTGGGATTCGATCCCGGGTCTCCAGAATCGTGCCCTGGGCCAAAGGCAGGCACCAAACCGCTGTGCCACCCAGGGATCCCACCCATAACGCCTTTAAATCACTCTTTTATAAATAGATTTTTTTGGCAGTATTTAAAAAAAAAGAAGGAAAACTAATGAACACAGAGGCCTAAAGGATTAGAAGTTTTATTGTGGTAATTAAAACTCTGTAACTTAGCCCTGTCTTACTTGCTTAATATAGTTACCTATTTCTAACCAACATAATAGCACTGACTTAAAAGCACATTATTTTTACCTTTGTTTTTAATTCTTTATCCATGTGCTTCCCTCATCATGGAGAATGGTTTTGGTAGGCTAATGTTGGACATACAGTGAGCACACTACTTCTACCCATTGCATTAAGACTGAATTGAAATGGACATGTGTAAGAAATGTTATAGTCATAATTTTGTCTTGCTGTCTTCATCATCCCAGAGTGATATATTCGATACCATGGATTCAACTACCCCTGTATACCAATATTCTGAACTCTAGGAGACATGGACAAATATTTCTGGGCTTTTATCTCATATTCTTGATTTCCTTTATGAAACATCTCTTTAGATGTCAAAATTAAATTCATCTTTATATAAAAATCTCCTTTTCTTAGGCCTGGCAACATTATCAATCACTCTACCACTCTGATATCTCAGAAGTTGTCCTCTTTAGGTCAGTGCACTAGTCTTGCATTATTCATGATTCAAATTTCTGCTTTATTAAAATGAAAGATACATTATACGTCATGATCCTGTGGATATATTTGTAAATGAATAAAACCACAAACATTAGATCTGGAAATTTCCAGGAACCCCTTTCACTGATGTTTTCTAAAGTTACTAAGTTTCCTTACATACCCATGCCTTCCTTACTCACAACCCCCCCCCCCCCCCCCCCCCCCGACTGCTGCTTTTCCCTTTGCTTGGAGTATGTTCTCCTTTATTTGGCTAATTTGTTTTTCCTTCAGGCTTTAGCTCCACTATCAACTCCGAACTACTTCCACCTCCCTCCCCTACCCATCTCCCACCCAGGCTAAGTTTAACTTCTTTCTGGGATCATATATCTATATATACATATCTATGACCATCAAAGCATATGTTATACCCTACTGTAATTATTTTCTTCTCTGCTACCTGTGCTAAATATTTATTTTATGTAATTTCTATAACCACATTTTATGTAATCTCTATAACAACCACATACAAGAAATCAGTACTCAGAAAGGTTATGTCACTTGTGCAAGATCATGCAATTAGGAAGTGGTGCAATCAGAATTTTGAACTTAGATTTCTATAGCCACTTAAGTCTTTAATATGATTTTGAGTGCTGCAGAAGCTGCCTACTTCAAACTCAAGCCATCTAGGAGACTGGCGGGAAATTGTACAGGTAGCACAGCAATCTGGGGGGGAAGGCAGCTGAGTTCAGTTGGCCCCCTGCCCTTTACTAACTCACACAGGGTCCTGGATATTAGGCTGAGCAGCCTTGAAGAGAGAACAAGGGCAGGAGAAAGGACTTTCTCTATCAGTCTTTTTGTTGAATTAAATTTCTAGTCTAAAGTAAGTTTTGTTCACCATTACTTTGAGATCAACTTTACTAGGAAATTAATTTGGATTTCTTCTATTTGTAACAATCGGATGTGTTAGATGTCTGAAGCATATCTTCCTCTGCTGCTTACTATTGTTCAAAGTAAAACAATCAAACAAAATGTGTAACTGACACTGACCATGGTGAATTTGCTACAAGGTTGAAATGTGCAAGGATACCACTGCAGATAGTGTTGGCTTGCCCTTTATGTTTGCTCTCAAACCTGAAAAACATTTCACAGTGGAAAGACTAAGTAAATTCTTCCCTTTTTTGCCAAAAAAAATTGCAACCTACAATCCATTATCATATGAATAATATAAGCCTAGTATTGTAGTATTGTGTCATCATATTTCTCTCATCTGACTCTGTGCTGTATGATAAAATTATCAAATGTTTGTTCCTGACTCTCAAGTCTGTATCTCTAGGCTAGCTTGCTTTTCTTTTCTCTAGCTGCCTACTGACCATCTCTCTCTATTTGAATATCTCACTAGTAACCCAAGTCCTGGCCAAGGCTTAATTTATTATCTTTGTTTCTCAGACTTCTCCTTATTTTGTGACTTTTTTTTTCTATCCCCTGATATCAGTATCCTCTAGAGAAGAATTTTGGATTCTGACTTTTTTTCTTACTCTTTCTCTGCAAAACCAATTTGTTCCTTGTTCTACCAATTTTTCATCCATGATATTCTCAAATCTATTTTTCCCTTTTAATTTATTTTGCTACTACCCTTGCTGAGACCGTCATTTTGAGCCTGGGCTGCTGCCCTAGTCTCTAGACTGGTCTCCCGTCTCCTTGCTCTTCTTTCCCTTCCACTCATTACCATCAGAAAAGTCTTCCTGATACCTCATTAATATGTCACAGTTACTCTCTGTTGACGATAGAAATAGGACCATGACCTTCCTCTCCTTTTACAAACTCTGCCCTTTAGTTTACTTCTTAAACCACCTAAAAACCACTGAAAAATCAGGTCCAACACTGTTTTAAAAATTAAAAATTACATTCTGGGATTCCTGGGTGACTCAGCAGTTTGGCACCTGCCTTCTGCCCAGGGTGCAATCCTGGAGTCCCGGGCTCAAGTCCCACATCAGGCTCCCAGCATGGGGCCTGCTTCTCCCTCTGCCTGTCTCTCTCTCTCTCCCCCCCCCCCCTCTCTCTCATGAATAAATAAATAAAATCTTTTTAAAGTAAATAAAATAAAAATTACACATTCTTCCATACCTCTGCAGACCTATGAAATTAGAATTTCCAAGGGAGGAGCCTGGGAAGCTGTTTTTTTAATGAATTCCTTGGACTTCTTATCAGGGAAATGTAGGAAACACTGTTAGCAGATCTAAACTATATGCTGTTCTATGTATATGTTTTGTGTTTTCCTTTATGTCTTTGTTCGTATTCTTTTCCCTGCCTGAAGTGTCCCATCCCATTCTGGATGTCAAAGTGATATTTATTTTCAATACCTAAAATACCATTTTTTCTAAATGTCTTTTCTTAATTGTTCCTTTTTCCAATCTAACCTTTGCCTTTCTTTTGATACATTTTCCTTTTAAAAACATCCATTTTTTTTATTACATAAAAAATATATGACTATGTTCTCAGTGTATACTGCTCAAACTTTATCTCCTTTTCTTTCTGCCTTATTAAGTGTGTAGAGTCCTAGGCTGAGTTCTTTCATGGTAAACTGTCATTTTTCAGTGGCAGTGGATTGAAGCAGAAATAGCATGGATTTGGAATCATATACATTCATATTCGCACTTCACTTTCCACAGATACTCTGACCTTGGATAATTTAGTCTCTCTGAGCTTCAGCTTTCCTCTTTGTAACAGTGAAAATACCATGAACTATTTAGAGTTGTGAAATAAGGATGTGGATAGTCATTACTTCTATACAATATGCAATCTCGGAAAATGTTTTTGAAAGTCAAATGTCATACATAGGAACATACTCTATGTTATAATTTATATTTGATTCAAAATCTGAAATCATTGAAGTTTATTGGCTTAGAGGAAAGGAAATTTCTCTAGAGGGCATGAGAAATTCTAGAGTGAGTAAAAATGGAAGTATATTTTATTTATTTTTCTTTTGTACGGTTATTCAGACTGAGAATCCCTCCAATACATCTTACCTTTGGGGTAAAATGAAACCTTGGTAAGAAAAAGGAATACTAACCTTAATATTGGAAAAGTATGACCAATAGATACATTTTTTAAAAGCTAGCCTTAACTATTTTTAAATGTATGTAATAATTAGAACCGAAGTCAAGTAAGTGTCTTTTACGACAACTAAGAACAATTTTCAGTTTCAGTGGTTCCATGAAATTAAATATTTCTAGAGGTCTTGAAAATAATTGTTTCATTATTCATTTACTTATCAAGTTTCTTTTTTCAGTGACTCCACAGTGCGTTAAGCTTTATTCCAGAACCTGTCTAACAGCCCAAGTTAATAATTGGTAAAGTCTGAATTGGGGCTTTACTTTATGTGAAAAGAGAAATAAGATAGAGTCCCCTCTGGTTTATGGATTATCAGTATGGGATTACAGACACTACTTCACCCCACTCATTTATTCGTGACAAGGTGCTCTCCCACATGGGTTAGCTTTCCTTCATTATTTTTTTTAGTATCTTTCTACTACCTGATAAAAATCTTTTAGAATAATAGAATTTTATAGCTCAAAAGGATCTAGTCCAACTTCCTTTCTTTATAGATGAGGAAACTGAGACTCTGGCTAAGTGACTTGCCAGACTGACTTCATTTCCTTTTTGATAGGATTGCATGATAGGAGGATGCCATAGTCACATATTTTGAGTTCCAGAAAGCACATTGTCAGAGTCTTTCATGGTATTCTTGTGGACAACCTGAGGAAATGTGATCTGGGAGATAGTATAGTTAGATGGATTTATAGCTTATTGAATATTTATGCCCAAAGAGTGCTTCATTGTCAACCTGTGCGTGATTCTTTGAACAAGTAAGTTAAAATGTAGTAGAGTACATGTAAATTCTGTACTTTAGTTGAATGCAATCAGCCGAATAGGTATAACACTTAATAGCCCGTAAGCCCTAGTTGAATTATTTAGAGTAGGATCTCTGGAATAAGGAATTTGCATTTTGGGCGACCATATTTGCGGCCTTTTGTTCAATTCAGAACACATTTAAGAAGGAAGGAAGGAAGGAGAAAGAGAGAAACTGACAAACTAGATGCATTCAGAGGAAGGGGGGAGGATCATGAGGAGAGTGATGAAGCCAAAAACCACTGCCCATGGAGAATGCTTGAGGAATTGGACATACTTTGGAGAAGTAAAAACTACATAAAAATGATCCGAGGCTTCAGATGTTTAAAAAGCTTTTATGGAAGATGCCTTCCTTCATTTTGCTTTCTTAAATGATAGTTTTATTCAAATGTCTGTGCTGGTTTAAAGTTTACTCCTGAATCTTTGTATAATTTAAAAACAGATGTCAGAAAATATTTTTCAAGTGAAAACTTACAATCAGACAAGTAGTTTTCATGAGGCAAGTTAAATGTTAGGTCCATTATAAAAGTATCTCAATAGCTAGATTTAAAAATAGTGATTAAGCTGTGTCACACTGACAGTGATACACATAGTATTTCTCTCACTGCAGGATATGCTAACATTTTTACCTCAAATCCTACACTTTAAGAAAGCTTTTTCTCACTTAGAAAGTTACATTGATAGACAAATACACCACTTTTGAGAATAAAAAGTAAGAATACTTTGTCTTCTTGTTTATTCCAAGAAATTAAAGTTTCCCAAAAAGTTGGGATCTGGGGGTAGACATGACATGAAGAATGCTGCAAGGCCTTTTGCACAGAGGTTGTAAGAAGTGTTGGACAGTCTATAAACTGTTTTGCCTCATTAAATTGTACTAAACTTATCTTTCTAGTTTGTATTTAATTTTAAAAGATGTTAATATACTTGTATTCGTCGCATATTTCTGCTGTAACTAATTTATTACCATAAATTTAGTGGCTTAAAGCAACACAGATTTAATATGTTAAAATTCTGGAGGTCAGAAGTCCAAAACAGGTTTCACTAGGCTACATTTTGGGGTATTGGTAGGGCTGCCTTCCTTCTGCAGGCTCTGGGGAGAATCTCTTCCCTTAACTTTTCCAACTTTTAGAGCCTATTTGCATTCCTTGTGGCTCTTTCCTCCATCTTCAAAGCCAACAATAACCCATAGAGTCTTTTTTTTTTTTAAGATTTTATTTATTTATTCATGAGAAACACAGAGATGTGTGAGAGAGAGGCAGAGACACAGGCAGAGGGAGAAGCAGGCTCCATGCAGGGAGCCCGATGTGGGACTTGATCCCGGGACTCTAGGATTATGCCCTGGGCTGAAGGCAGGGGCTAAACTGTTGAGCCACCCAGGGATCCCCCATAGAGTCTTTCTAAGCTTTATCATTCTGAAACAGACTCTCCTGCCTCCTTATTTCATTTGTAAAGTCTTTTGTGATTACATTGGATATACCCTGATAATCCAGGATAATGTCCTCGTCTCAGAATCCTTAATTTACCTGCAAAATCCCTTTTGCCATGTAAGGTAACATATACAAAGGTTTTGAGGACGAGGTGGTGGACATCTTTAGGGGGCCATCATTATACCTACCAATCTCTTTATATTTAAACTAAACTCTAGTATACATGGTAACAAATTGTTAATAGTTCGTTTTTAGTTCTAAAATATAGAACTAGGATTGGTTGGATGGTTGGAAATTACACATTTTTTTCTCCAATTAGAAAACTGTCCAAAAATAGAAGACATTTAAAAAGGAGTGATTTTTGTATGTATCTAAGATTATAAGCTCCCTTCAGGTGTTGAGACACTGGGTGACTAGTTAGCAGTGAGTCCAAAGGGATTCCTGCTTTGGGTGAGAGACCAGATTAAGTGGCCTATAAAATCTTTTTATTTTAAACTATTAAGCTTTTCTGGTTCTATGCTAAAGGTTAGAGAATGTAATAGGGCTTTGAGAGAAACAGAATACATATATACAGGTAATTCTGTGCAATGTAGCAAGTATGTTTGAAAAACAGTTGTGTGTTGGGATTCCTGGGTGGTTCAGTGGTTTGGCGCCTGCCTTTGGCCCAGGGCATGATCCTGGAGTCCCGGGATCAAGTCCCATATCGAGCTCCCTGCATGGAGCCTGCTTCTCCCTCTGCCTGTGTCTCTGCCTCTCTCTCTCTCTCTCTGTCTCTCATGAATGAATAAATAAAATCTTAAAAAAAAAAACAAAACGGTGTGCATTTACTTCAAATTACTCTTGTATATTTTCTTCTAAGTTTTACTATCTGGGTCAAAGAATTAGTTTAATTTTATGTAAATCATACTGAAGATTCAGTGTTTGAAAAGGATTTTTTTGGAAGAAAATGTGTTTTTAAAATGTTTTCAATCAATGTGAGAGTTAGCTTCTTATTTATAAAGCTCTAATTTATACTGACAATTTCAGGAACATGTATCTTTTGCTAGCCATATTTTACCAGTACTAGATTTAATGTAAATGTGTTATTTATCCTTTTGAAAGATTTATTTATTCCTCACTTTTGATTATATCCTACATTTTTTCCCAGAGCATGAAGGGGAAAAGCAAAAGTAGTCATGACTTGCTTAAGGATGATCCCCATCTCAGTTCTGTTCCAGCTGTTGGAAGGTTAGTATGCTACATTATTTTCTGGCTCAGGTATTTTCTTGCCTTTGTAACAAAGTGATCAGTTCTCTCTCTCTCTTTCATTTTTTTTTTTGAAAGATTTATTTATTAGAGAGCGTGTGGGGGTGGAGAGGGGGAGAGGGAGAGGATGAGAGAATCTCAAGCAGACTCCCCACTGCATGCAGAGCCTGGTGTGAGGCTCCATCTCACAACTCTGAGATCATGACCTGAGCAGAAATCAAGAGTCAGATACTTAACGACTAAGCCACCCAGACGCCCTGGTCAGTTCTTTTAAGTCCAATTTTTTTTAAACTAAGACAAAAAACAAAAACATTTTGGTGATGGAGGTAGCAGAGCTTCTAGCCTAAAGGAGGGAAGCACTCTGGCCCTTTCATCTATTTCTGTTGAACTAACTAAATTTAAAATTAACTGCTAAACTTTTAAATTTTGGGATAGTTTGAATAGGAGTTTGCTTTGAAAATTTAATGTTTAATTCAAAGTTGCTTTGTTAACTTTTTCTTTGAAGCATTTTTGTGCCTGTTGGTACGATGGGTAAACAAGTCAGAGTTGAAAGGTTTTGTGAAGAAGTCACTACATTTGAGACCAATTCACTGAGTAGTTATTTCTTACATATTTTAGTAGTTAACAGAAAATTGTCTGTATTGCTTCTCCTTGCAAAGTGAAGATGTTAAATATAATTACACATGAAATATTGAGCCGGTGTCTCAAAGGGGGATTAAAATGCTATGGCTCTGAGTTTAGCTTATTCTCAAAAATTCTATTTCAAAAAAATCTTTTCTTAATATCCTTGTATTTGAAGGATTTGATTTTTTTTCAGCCAGACTACATCAAGCCAACAGAAGAAACTGTTTACTGCAGTACTTTGTTCATAAAAAAGCACCGTTGGTTGTTGTTTGCTTTTTTTCTGTTAATTCTAGTGAATTCATGTATGTGCTAATGGAGCATACTTCTTATTCTATTTATAAAAATGACTCTCTTGAAGAATGTTTCTATTTATTCCACAATGCCATTCAGAAATTGCTATGTTGAAATAGGTTCTTGAACTTTTGATCCCAGCAAAATATTCTAAATCTGAATAATACTAAAATTTCAATAATTTTAGTAGTTTCACTTTGAAGCTAAAATTTACTTGTTTTCACTCTTTTTGTAGTGAAAAAGGTGATACAGTAGGAGATTCAGCTAATGTAAGTATTAATTTTAGCATAAATATATTTGAACAATAGATAATTCAAAATGTTTATAAAAGATTATTTTTTCCTTAAAAGGTAGTGTATGTTACTTTTATAATTATACATTTAAAATTCTGAAAAAAGTCTAAAAATTTGAGAAAGTAAATCATTTATTTCGATTGGAATATTTCCTTCAAGTATGTGGGTAGATGTGTATTTCCCTACAAAACTGAAATCTTATATGTATATGAATTTCTAGCCAATTTTTTTCTCCCCCTCACTACTTGAATGCTCAAAATTCAGATATCAATTATTTTTGTTAAAAGTTTAAATGTTGCTACATGGATATCCATTTATCATAGTATTCTTTTATATACACAATTCAGAGGATCCTCCTTCAAGACTGTGGTGATCTTTCTTTATTAGTTGTATCGGCTATTAAAGCTGATAGAAAAGACCTGAAGGAGATGAAAGAGCAAGCAATGCAAATATATGGTATATGGGTGTTTAGAGATGGATTGAGCACTAGCTCCAAACTTGGCTCATGTTCCTGGCCTGGAGCTGTAGGAGACTATGTCAGGGAGGTACCGATTGTAGAGGGTTGTGAGTGAGTTGGTGATTCACTGAACGATTCTGAGAAGAGGAGTAACTGGTATGATGAGGAAGATAGGAAGGAATCTCAGCTTTCCACCTCGTCCTCATCTACATGAATTAATCTCTGGTTCAGGTCAGTATGCTGGCAAACTGCCTACAGAAGCCACTTTTCTCACTGGGAAAGAATAGAAATGTAGATAGACAATATCCTGGGTGACACACAGGGAGCATAGCCCATGCTGCACAGAGGGACTCTGGGTGAAGTAAGCAAACACCTCTTACTCAGGTATCCCCTACTTACATAATTGGCTTAGAGCAGACCCCAGGAGTATTCCCACCTGGAACAGATTCTTTAAGCCCTCACTAATTCAAGACAAAACAAAAAGCAAAACTGGCCTAGCCTGCAATAAGGAGAGTCTGAAATGGGTCTCTGGAAGTGTAAAGAGAAATGGGATGCCTGGCAAATACTCCATTTCAATTTCTACAGGACGGAGAATGTGAAGGTGCAGAGCATGATGAATATCTTGATGGTGATGAGAAGAATCTGATGAGGGAAAGAATTGCAAAAAAGTTAAAAAAGGACCCTAGTGGAAATGTTAAGTCAGCTGGAGAGGGAGAAGTGAAGAAATCAGTTAGCCGCAGGTGAGTCAATTATTGTACTTCTAGGTATCAGTTTGTCTTTTTATACTTCACTTCAAATTAGCATCGAGTCCTCTATTCAACTTATTTTTTAAACACTATTTTCATTAAGTTTGATGTGTATGCTATTTGTGTGTTAGTCTGTTTGGAGGCCTCAAACAGACCAGTTTTAAAGTATTGATAGCACTGGTCCTATGAGTCAAATTCTACTTCATCTCTCTCTAATCTCTTTTTTAAAAGCCTCTATAAATTTTTATATATGGGGTAAACAATATGTTAGACGTGGAATGCTATGTTTGTTTAATGCCAATATGAACAGTAATGTAGAGAATGAAAAGAGAAGCCCTCAGATTTAGGTAAAATTTGTCAAAACTGGTTATGAAAGTGTGGGGGGGGGTCTGAAAACATTCTTAAATATCTTTTCAAGTCTGATTTATACTGTATACCTCTCCTACTGTATACCTCTCCTAATCTCAGTGGTATCATAAAAGAAATTTAAGTGTATGTCTGGTGATAAAGAGTTGTTGAGTTTGTGACTCTTGAAATTTAACTTAATTGAAATACTCTCCTTTATGATTTTATTATTACAACCTTATGGTATACATTTTAAATAATATTGCTTTAAAAAATGTTTTCAGGGCACCTGGGTCTCTCAGTTAAGTGTCTGACTTCGGCTGAGGTCATGATCTTGGAGTCCTGGGATGGAGCCCAGTGTTGGGTTCCCTGCTCAGCAGGGAGTTAGCTTCTCCCTCTCCCTCTGCCCTTCCCCTCCCCAGCTTCTGTGTGCACTCTCTTTCTCTTTGTAATAAATAAATGAAGTCTTTAAAAATATATTTTCTTTGGATCACCTACATTTGGAGATAATAATAGACATTACTACATGTAAATAATATTTTTTCATATGTTTCTCAACTTCATATAGAAAACTTAAAAGAAAAAAACTTTAAAAAAAATATATTTCCATGTTGTCATTGCTTTGGTCCCCCAATTTTATCCTTTATGTAACCAGAAAAGTAATTCCCAGAAGTTTCCACTGATGGTAAAAACTTTTATATTCAGAAATAATACTTAAGTATAGTAGATTAACTTTGGGCCACTATTGACAATATTTAGTGCTACACATCACATCAGCTCAGTAACTTTAAGTCAGATCACATATACATTCAATATTTTCTCTCTCTGGTTTAATACATGCACTTTGTGATTTTTAAGAACTATGATTTTTTTTTAAAGATTAGCTTTATAATGTGGCAAAAATACAGTTTTAAGTTTTTTAAAAAGGTTTATTTATTTTTAGAAGGAGAAAGCACACATGAACGGGGTGGGGGGCAGGAGCAGAGGGAGAAGGAGAGAGAGAATCTCAAACAGCTCCACCTGAGCATAGAGCCTGTATCAGGGCTCCATCTCAAAACCCTGAGATTATGACCTGAGCTGAAACCCAAGAGTCAGATGATCAACAGGCATCCCCATTTTGAGTTTTTAATAAATGAAACAAATAGTTGTTATATTTAAGTGCTTAAGTCATCGATTTTACTATCTTATTGATTTTAATAATTTCCAATACTTATATACCCTGTAATCTGTATAACTTATAATTTAGCAGAGCTGAATTTTCTTTTTTTTTTAAAGATTTTTATCTATTTATTCATGAGGGCCACGGAGAGAGAAAGAGAGAGAGACAGACAGACAGACACACACACACACACACAGGCAGAGGGAGAAGCAGGTTCCATGCAGGGAGCCCAACTTGGGACTCAATCCCGGGCCTCCAGGATCAGGCCCTGGGCTGAAGGAGGCGCTAAACCGCTGAGCCACCCGGGCTGCCCTGAATTTTCTTTACGAACTAAATAGAGCAGATGTGAGGGCTATCTGGCTTGACATCTGTCACCCCATTGATCACCAGGGTTGATTCAGCTGATCTGGCTGGCTAGGCGGGTGTCCCCTTCCTCACCACTCCATGTGTGTCCCTCCTGAAGCTGCGCGCTCAGTCAAAGAGGATGACCGTCCCCAATAGAGGAGGACCATTCTTCAGTCAAGGGTATACGAGTAGCTGCACTCCCCTGCTAGAACCTAACAAGCTTTCAAGGTCTGTTTGCAGGAGAGTGTAGAGTAGTCAAGCTTCCAAGACTCCAGATGCATCCAAATGAGGTGCTGCATATGGCAGTCTGCCTTTGTTTAAAACAAAACAAAACAACTAAAGCTTATTTGGTAAAATTTGCCCTAATAAATGGTGAAAACACCAAAACACCTATTTTTTTTTTTAAGATTTATTTATTTGAGAGAGAGAACATATGCACATGAGTTGGGGAAGAGGCATAGAGAGAGAGAGAATGAGTATCCCAAGCAGACTCCCTGCTGAGCTGAGAGCCTAACTCGAGTCTCCATCCCAGGACCCTGAGATCATGACCTGTGCCAAAATCAAGAGTTAGGATGCTTAGCCAACTGAGACACCAAAGTGCCCCCCAAAACATCTATTTTTAACTAGATTTTTAACTCTTCCCCCAGATTTTTAGTATTCATATTCTTTCTCCCTCCTTCATCCTACCTCTCCTGCCTACAATCAGAAATAAAAGAAAATGAGGAGAACAGGATAGAGTAGAAAGTACAGAATTTCAAAGGGAAAATAATTTTTCACTCCAACCTAGAAATTTTCATACTTGTGTCATGACCACTTGAGTGCAAAAAATTCCAAAATTATTAGTGCTTTTGGCATAAAAGCTTAACTCTAGTTCAAGTCTCAAGTTAATTTTACCTTGAAAAACCAGAAAAATCTCTAAGAATCTTAAAAAATATAATGGGATAAAAAAAGATAGTTAAATTTAAAGGAATATTACTACTCAGTCTCAGTTGAATTATAAGGGCACAGCTGCCAGCCAGATAGGATGTCCATTCAAATATCCAGCCTTTTCATCTGCATGTGCTAGAAGTTGTCCATTATCCTTCAGTCATTTGCTGATTCAAGCAGTGGATTAGCCTACCAGCCCTTTAGGCAAGGAGTATAATTTTACTGAAAATTTGTGGTATTGCTTCTATTGGTAAAGAAACAACTAGACCCTGTTAAAGCTGTTTATCACTTTGGATGTTAAATCTACAAGCAAGGTTGTTGTGTACTTCACATGTAAGCTGGGGATGGTATTTAACAAAATGATTTTCAACAAATTTACACAGAGTAGAATCTTTTCCTAAGCAGGGAGCCCTGAAATGGTGCTCGATCCTAGGACACTGAGCTGATGCCAGGATGCTGAGCCAAAGGCAGACACTTAACCAATTGAGCCACCAGGTGCCCCGTGTCCCTTTTATCTTTATATCCTCTGAGTCTAGTCTAATAAGCAGATGGTTCTTAAAGTTTGTGTAATGAGTGGATTAATAAGTGAATGAATATATTTGTGATACATTATGTGATATATACATGAAATGGTTTTTCATCCTAACTGCCCATTAGATTCACTAGGGAAATGTTCAAAGAAATACTGATGACTAGGCCCCACTGCCATAGATTCTGAATCATTTGGTCTGAAGTGAAACCCGGACACGTTCTCCTTTTTAACTTTTTAGCTTTTAATTGAAGTATGACATGCATACAGAATTTATTTCACAGTGCTTGTATCATAACTATACAGGTTGCTAAATATTTACAAACCAAATATACCCATATACCTATCATCCAGATCAAGAAACAGAAAATTCCATCACCCAGAAGTCTCTTTCTTGCCCCATTCTGGTTACTTCTCCCCTCACTGCTTTTCTAACTTCTAAGAACAGATAATAGTTTAGAGTAACAATACTTTGTAAAATCTCCCCAGATATACTAATGTGCCTCCAGGTTTAAGAACTCCACTTCCCACCACAGACATACTCCCTTGATTAATTCTGGGGTAGAGAATAATATAAAAGTGGATTTAAAAAAAATCAGTGTCACCTCAGATAGTTTTTGCAGCCTAATAGTGATAAGACATTTATATCAACTGAATTTAGTTTTAATCTTTGAAAAACATAAAACAGTAGGTATAGTGGGACTCAATTTCATCAGAAATAAAATATGGTATTTGAGTATTTCTGATTTTTTTTTTTTTTTTAGAATATGTGCTGCTAAAGGCTTAAATCAGTGCCTTTCAATCTTTTCTGTACATTTAGATCACCTGAGAACAGGCCCCACCTCAGGCTAAGTCCATCAGAATTTGTGGTATGGGACCTTAAGTTTAAGAAAGTACCCCAGGTTATTCTAATGTGCACTCAAGGTTAATTGTAAGTTTGGGATTATTTGGAGCTGGTCTTTGGAAAATCTATTTTAAAGTTGATGGTAAAGAATTATTTTTTTGCCTGTAGGTGGAGCTCAACTGCTGCAAGTTAATCCTATAAGCCAAATTGAGTTGTCTGCCCTACTATTTTTGAATATCTGTGTATTGATATGTAATAAATAACCAGAGAGTATAATTAGATCTAACAAACAGACCAAATAGTTAGAAATCAGTGGTTTGTTGTGATGATTATAGTCATTATGGAAATTCGGTCTTTGTGTAACTTTTATGAATGTATTGTGATTACTGTTTTAAATTATTTTCATCAAATCTAAATATAAATCAAAAAATACTAATACATACCCTCAAATTATAATCATCAAACATTTGATAGAAATGTTTCAAGGCTAACTAGAATGTTATTAGTTTTGGTGTTTGAACAGTTTCCCATTTGATCAGCTATATTCTGTTTACCCATCATATTTAGTTGACCTTCTTCATAAAACAACTCTCTTATTTGGCAAAGTTAAGTGGAATTTGTGTTTTAGTTATGACCTGTATTAGTTGACTGAATATGAAATATGATAACACCAGGAATTTAGATATGGATATTGAAGTTGAAATTGAGATTAAAGATCTAATGAGTTGGATTGAACTTTAAATTATGAAGCAAAGAATAATGTAGTTATAAATACCTCCTGAGTATATTCCCTGAGGCCTGGGTGGACACCCACATTAGATGTTGCCAATTTTCCTCTCTCAAGT